CTACTGTTGAGTGGATCAGTGAGCAGGAGGTCCCCTATGCCACCTATGCCAGTGCCTGGGTTGGCTACGATGATCAGCGCAGCTTCTCTTCTAAGGTACAAACTCACTGCGCTCTCTATTCTTTCTTAAACAAACAGATAAAAATGTATAAATGCAATAATAAATTCAATGAAACAGTTGAGGTTTTGATGTTGTCATGTAGGTCCAGTATATGACTGCTCACAGAATGGGTGGAGCTCATGTGTGGACACTGGACATGGATGATTTCAGAGGCTCACTTTGTGGCTCAGGGGCTTATCCACTGGTTAACCACCTCAGGATGTCTATGGGTAAATAAATGACATTGTTTTGGATTATCTAGAAACTGTAGTTTGCATGTCCTCTTTGGGTCCCTTTGGGTTACTTTCTCCCAGTGCCCAGGGAAATATTACTTTCAAAGGTGCATAAACCTTCTGTTGCTTCTTTAGGATTTGGGCCCAAGCCTACCACCACCCCAGCACCCACCACCACTCGGGACCCCATGGCTGACTTCTGCCGGGGCCGCCCTGATGGCCTGTATGAGAATGTGGCAAACAAAAACACTTACTTCCAATGTTTCCAGGGAAACACCTACCTGCAACACTGTCAGCCTGGTCTGATCTATTATGACTCCTGCAAATGCTGCAACTGGCCCTGAACAATAAAAAAGAAATAACAATAATGCATGTTCAGATCAAACTGGCATAATTCAGCTCATGTTGCAATAAACATATCAAACCAAAAATGTGTCTTTCTTTCTTTTCTTTTTTTACACACACAGCACCATGATTGATTAACTCCCCTTGTCACTCAGAATATGAAGGTTGACCACATCAGCCATTCCTGATTGTTACACACTTATGCATGCTATACTCCTCAATCATCTTTACGAACACACTGCCTTTGGTCCAATAGGCTTTATGCACAATAACGACTGGCAGGTTCACTGTTTGCATCACTACTTCCTGTCCAATTTGATCTCTTTCAGGTTTTTGCTGGGTCATTCTAAAATGTAAAAAAAATGTTATGTATAAAAACTTTGTGTCTCAGTGCTACTAACACTAATGATAATTTTGAGATATAATAAATATTCACACCATAAACTGTATGCTACACATAAAGTTAAATCAATTATTTTTTGCGTGTTTATTACACTGACATGAGTGATTTAGTGTGCTATGTAACTGCAACATCTGCACATTATTCAGAGCACACTATATTTTCATTATTTTATCAATTTCACATCATTAAAACTATCAGTATCAGTAAATGTCATATGTATAAGGCTTTATAATAAAGTCTATTTTTGACAAACATCCCCATTTACATACTGTGATACATGCGTTCAATATGTTGTTAGCATTTTGACGTAATTTGTAAAAAAAAAAAAAAAAAAAAAAAGTAAGCAGTTCTTCCAATTACATTATATTTTTAACTTTTAGTACATTTATTTAAACACGATTACTACTGAAAGAATTCACTTTGTTCTTTCAATCAGCCCTTCATTAAACTTTTCACCAACTCCCCAATGCAGATTTATCTCTCAAGTAACAACAGAACAAAGGTATACGAATAAAAAGAATAAAATTATGTTTTTTTCTGGGCCAACTACTATCAATCAATAGTCTTATTACGTCAGTGTAATAAGACTACCAGTCCTACAGTCCCTGTAGTCTGAGCCTGCTATTAATAGTACATTAAGAGATACCAAGCATAAAGTAGTTGTAAAAATAGTTTCAGTTCACTTGAATAAGCTTTTATCTACAGGTTATCTCTGATTGTTTGGAACTGATATTGATGCATTTGTTATAGTTTATCTGTATTAGATACTGATAATGTGAAAGTGAAAATTAATTAGTCTTCATTTCTGCTCTGTCACAATGTGCAGATAAAATCAAATACATAATATCATTATTGAACAGAGCTTGATCAGTGAAACCAGTACAGATAGTTATAATAATTATAATAGACAGTTATAGTTAGAAAATAATATTTAAAGGGACCATATTTCAGTCCTGGCCAGTCTCTATTGAACAAATTGTAAAAGGTAGGTAGGTGACATCAAATGGTGGAACAGAGCATATTGAGCTTTGGAGATATAGACAGTCTAATAATAAAGGATTGCTCAAACATGTGTGAATGAAACAAAACATAACTCCAGGGATGTTTTTGAGGAGGCAGCAATATTCTAACATGGCTTAAAGCTCACAGAGTCAATTTTGCGTAATATAGGACCTTTAAACATTCATTACAACATAAAAGACAGTTACATCTAATCAGGAATGACTAGATGAATCATTCATGTTTGCTTTGACTTTATCACATTTATTGATCAATATTGTTGAATTACCTAAATTGGCATGGGCAAAGTGCACGGATGCGCTGATGACCTGTGCATTGTGTGTTAATGTCTGCTACAATTATATTCATAAGACACAACCAGAAACGTTACGTAGTGGTACCTCAGAGGTCCTATATTACATAAAATTGACTCTTGCAAGCTTAAAGTCATGTTATAATGCTGTTACCTCACTAAAAACATACCTGGAGTTGTGTTTTGTTTCATTACAGCATTATAACATAGGTCAGAAAATAGTGTAAGATGGGCCCTTTAAAGCCACAGTGTAGAGTACTATAGTTTGTCTGAAATGTTACACACCCTGGCATAACTTCTATCTTCAATATGGCACTCATGGAACTTGTTTTTATTGCTCAAGACACTTTAAAACATACAGTGGAGGAAATAAGTATTTGATCCCTTGCTGATTTTGTAGGTTTGCTCACTGACAAAGAAAAGAAATAAAATAAAAAGAAAACATATATAATTCTATAAATCTATCATTTTAATGGTAGGTTTATTTTAAAAGTTAGAAATAGAATATCAAAAATAAAATACATAAAATTACTTTAAAGAAAATATATAAACTGATTTGCATTAGCATTGAGTGAAAGAAGTACTGTTTTTGAACCCTCTAGCCAAAAAAGACAGTACTTGGGGGCAAAAACCTTGTTTGCAAGCACAGAGGTCAGACATTTCTTGTAGACCAGGTCTGCGCATTTCAGAAAGAATTTTTGTCCACTCTTCTTTGCAGATCATCTCTAAATCATTAAGGTTTCGTGGCTGTTTCTTGGCAACGTGGAGCTTCAGCTTTGCATAGGTTTTCTATAGGGTTACGGTCCTGCACATGTGCCTTCTTAAGCAGGGGGACCTTGCTAGCACTGCGGGATCCATTGTGGGATGTGTTACCAATGGTTTTCTTATTGACTGTGGTCCCAGCTGCCTTGAGGTCATGGACTAACTCCTCCCATGTAGTTCTAGGCTGATTTCTCACTGTTCTCATAATCATTGAACCCCCACAAGGTGAGATCTTGTGTGGAGCTGTAGACTGAGGTTGATTGATAGTCATTTTGTTTTTCTTAAATTTTCAAACAACTGCACCAACAGTTGTCTCCTTAACACCCAGCTTCTTCCTTATGGTTTTGTAGCCCATTCCAGCCTTGTGCAGGTCTACAATCTTGTCCCTAACATCCTTTGACAGCTCTTTGGTCTTTCCCATGTTGGACAGTTTGGAGTCTGATTGATTGATTGATTTTGTGGACAGGTGTCTTTTATACAGGTGACTAGTTACAATACGAGTCTAATTCAGGCGATGAGTTGATTAGAAACGTTTAACTGGTCTGTGGGAGCCAGAACTTATTTCACACAATGAAATGCAAATTAGTTAATATTTTTTTCTGTAATGTGATTTTCTGGATTTTCTTTTTGATATTCTGTCTCTCAATGTTAAAATAAACTTACCATTAAAATTATAGACTGTTCATTTCTTTGCTAGTGGGCAAACCTACAAAATCAACAAGGTATCAAATACTTAGTTCTTCCACTGCACATTCATGTGGAACATTCTGTGGAACATAACTTCTCCATGGACAAAACCAGGTGAAGGAACCCTCCAAGTTAGTGCTCGTTCAGATAGTTTCCCATGCAAAAGGCAATACAGGGACAAAAAATAAGATCCAATTTCTTGAACAGGGCCACTGAAGGTTAAATTGTCAGGGTCAATCAATATTACAAACTCATAGAAAGCTGTTCTATGTTAAATTGTATTAATGTCACTTTTGTTCATTTTATAAAGGTTGTTGAAAACAGTTTTTGCAGCTAAATGCCAATAAATGTGTTTTATTGTCATTGTCACTTATTGACAAAATTCTAATCCTATTTCTTTTGCTTATCTTATTTTCAGATTGTGATTTCCAGTATCATCTCATCTTACAACCGTAGCAACTGCGCAATACACAATCATAAATTAAATGCTGTATATGAGATATATGAGATTAACCTGTCTCTCAGTAATCCAGCTGGCAGGGCAGAGCAGGTTCTTGGGGCAATGACCTTTCGTTTACCTGCTCAGTGATGATCACATTAAGTGTAATGTTATTATGAGTATTGAAGTAGTATTGAAATCTTAAGTTAAATGTAGCTATTACATGTATTTTGTTTATGTGGTTTCTTGAACAGTAAACTATTAATTGTTAACACAGAGACGCATTCTTGTTACATAACTTCATCTTCAGTCATTTGCTGGGCCAAAACCAGACTGTTCTGACTATCTAATGGGTAATATATTAACAATTGATAAGTATTACTCAAAACTCAAAGAAAAAAGGATTCTACAAAAACAAGCCCATTCAGCTATCTTTTTATGAGTGGACCCCACCCCTGCCCGACATGTGTACAATGTATATAAGAAGCCAGAAAACGTATAGACAGCGGCTCTGTGTAAAGTCCCAAGGTAAGCCTGTTCTGGAGATTAGCAAGGGCCCTGAGACAAATTACTGATAAAACAAGAGAAAATTGGAAAGCTACAGCAATACTCATTTTGTATATTGGTCTAATTGCAGCAATAGTCAAAAAATGACATTGCACAAATGTTGGTATTTCTGCTTGTTTCAGGCAAAGTAAGCTGCACGGACTGACAATCAAGATGACAAGGTTCACAGTCCTATCAGGTACAATGCATCATTAAAATATCATAAACTATTTTGTACAAATGACTAATTGCTTTCTAATGGTTATTCCAAAAAGGCTTGTGTCTGGTGCTGTGCCAACTGGGTAAGTGGCAAGAGATCTTTATTATTAAATTATTAAAGACACATTTTACTAGTCAACACACTGTTTTCTTCTTTGTTTTGTATTCCAGCATCTGCATCCCAGATGGTTTGCTATTTCACGAATTGGTCCCAGTACAGACCAGGCACGGGGAAATACATGCCCCAAAATGTTGACCCTTTCCTCTGCACCCACCTCATTTATGCTTTCTCCATCATAAACCCCAGAAATGAGCTGGTGACGTATGAATGGAACGATGAGACCCTCTATAAAACCTTCAATGGTCTCAAGAGCAAGTAAAAGCAATGTTTTTCTAATTCTACAAATCTAATGAAAAACTAGCATAATCTTACTTAATCATACTTTTAAATGCTCTGAAGGAACCCAGGTCTAAAAACTTTATTGGCCGTCGGAGGATGGAATTTTGGATCAACACAGTAAGTACACAGGTTGACCAACTGAATTAACAATAACAATTAAAATGTGCCAATAAGAGCCAATGTTAAATATTTTCCATAAGGTTCTCCATCATGGTGTCCACCCCAGCCAATCGTCAGACTTTCATCCAGTCCTCCATCAAATTCCTGAGAACCCACGGTTTTGATGGTCTGGACCTGGATTGGGAATACCCAGGATCCCGTGGAAGTCCCCCAATTGACAAACAGAGGTTCAGTCTGCTGTGCAAGGTCTGTATTCCACCATAGAGTATACATTTATGTTCTGCTTATCACATTTTTACAACATATTTATTGACTGTTTGTTTGCAGGAACTTGTAGCAGCCTATGCAGCAGAGGCTGAGACTTCAGGCAGACCTCAGCTCATGCTAACTGCTGCAGTGTCTGCTGGAAAGGGAACCATTGATGCCGGATATGAGATCGCTGAGATCGCAAAGTACTGAAATGTTTATCTCAAAATATGTCCAGTCCAAATTTGAGTCTAAACGCCATGTGTTTTCAGATACTTGGACTTCATTAATGTGATGACCTATGACTTCCATGGAGCTTGGGAGCGATTCACTGGACACAACAGTCCACTGTACCGTGGCTCACATGACAGCGGTGATCTCATTTACTTCAATACAGTAAGCAACAGATACATTATAGTTCTAAGGGCAATGAGGAAAACCCAGTAAATTGTTAATGCTTGGATTATGTCATGAATCATGATTTATTGTTAGGATTTTGCCATGAAATACTGGAGAGACCAGGGGACCCCAGCAGAAAAACTGATGATGGGCTTTGCGTCTTATGGCCGCACTTTCCGCCTGACCTCTTCCAACACTGGTGTAGGAGCTCCAGCAAGCGGAGCGGCCTCTGCTGGAATATACACTCGGGAAGCAGGATTCTGGTCCTACTATGAGGTAAGACTGCAGCCCCCAGAACATTTTGGCGGGATTAGACTTTGGGGTATAGCGAGTGGACAGGGTTATATTTTTTTTTGTTTCATTTTTGTTTCCCTTGTTTTTGTATAATATTAAAATCAATTTAAAAAAGACAATGTCAATGACTAATAAAGAGGTATTTTTTATATTTTTCCTCTTCTAGATCTGCACATTTTTAGAGGGAACCACAATCCAGTGGATTAGTGACCAGAAAGTTCCCTATGCCAGCAAAAACAATGAATGGGTGGGATTTGACACCAAAGAAAGCTATGAGATTAAGGTATGTGGAATCTCACTATGCATGTTGACTTGTCACGATATGAAAATTTGAAATGATATATTGCTAAAGAAAATATAGATGATATGATAAAAACACAGTAACACAACAACCTTAAAGCAGGATTATCCCCCCCAAAATATTCTAAAAACATAAATTGCAATAAATAAATAGCAGAATGAAACACTGTAGAAGTTAGTTTGTATCTTTAATGAGTCATAGAAGTTATTTATTCAACCCTCTACAACTCATATTGTAAATACATCAGTCTGGAATTATAGTCAATCTAAAATCTTATGTCTGGCCCACAGTAGATCACTATTACAAATAAAACCAATTGCAGTAATAAACATGCATTCAGTCAATTGTATGACAGTAGAAATACACCTTTTAAATTAATCCACAGGTCCAGTATATGAAGAACAACGGATTTGGAGGTGTATTCGTTTGGGCTTTGGATTTGGACGACTTTAACGGAGAGTTCTGTGGACAAGGAAAGCACCCACTGATGAACCACCTTCGCAAACTTGTTAACAGCGGTCAGTTTACCCTCTAAAATAAATGTTTAAAAGAAATTCTTAAAGTTACGTGTATTCCAAAACTTCTATGCACTTTACAGGGGTGCCTCCACAACCTGAAACCACTACCACCAGACCGGGTACAACCACAAACAGGCCAGCCACCACTACCACTAGACCAGTTCCAACCACAAACAGGCCAGCCACCACCACCGTTGGGCCAAGTGATACAACTACCACCAGGACCACCATCCCTGTGCCCGGGAAAGGCTTCTGTAAGGGCAAGCCTGACGGAATATATCCCCATCCCACGGACAACACCATGTTCTATGAGTGCGCGGGGGGACGGACCTATCTGAAGAGGTGCGGTGGGGGCACAGTGTATGATGATAGCTGCAAATGTTGTACCTGGCCCAGATTTGACTGAAGGAATCTTTGTATGTCATCTGTAAATGTGTAGGTTAAAATATGAAAAGTACAAAAAGACAATAAAGGTTTATGCAAAGTTTGCTGTTCTGTGTATGCATTTTTTGTATTAAAGTGTTGGCATAAAGATGGTGGTTGATTTTAGACAGTGCCCAGGCCATCATAATCTAAAATGGGAGCACTACTGATTCTGATCCTACAAAGAGAAACCTTACTTTTCAATTCAATCAAATTATTTAAAGGAATTGAGTAAGTTTTCTGGTCGAGGGTCTAATGTTTTTCTCCATGGAGATATTATTGCTTTGTCTGGAATGTTTCGCAGTATGGCATTAAACCTTTCTATCTTCATGGAGACCAAACCAGACCAAGATACAGGTCAGATCTGTGGAGAAGCAATCCCACTCACAGTCAGGAATCAGGATGCCTGCTTTTCTTGGTATTTCTGTGCTATACAACCACCTGTGATTTAATAAATGTATAAGCTAGAGCTGGTAAATGTCATACTGTGAAAGATTCCAGGTAGAGCAATGAAATCCATAGAAACAAGTGATGGACCCCCAACCAAAAAATTACATAACGCAAGTTTAATATGGGAATATGATTCAATGTGACAAATGTCCTATAATAAATGTTGCATCACAGTTTTGAAATCCAGCCAAATCCTGCCATTTCCTCCACCTTGGGTTTGTAAGATGTTAACATAAAATAATATAACAGCTTTTATACTTTGATTGGGTTGAAGTTATCATGATCACAGTCAGATGACAGAACATCTTGATAGTGGCTAGATGTGGCCAGTGTTCCAGGCCTGTCACATGTGTTAAAACCTGTCACATTGCATAAACTGTTTGTATGTTGTTATGATATCTAATCTACTGAATCATTCACATTGATATTGGAACTATTGAAAAAGATGTCAGACATGGACATGTCTTATCTGTAATAAAAGCAACAATGTGGGATTTACACAGTGCATGGGGCACGCTACAGTTATCTGATCATTTATTTCCAAGATGATTCTTATCTTTGAATTTTGAGCATTTAAAACTCATGAAAGACACACACACAAAATAATGAAAACTTTAAAATGAAAGAATGTTTAGGTTATGAATTACAGTTGTACTTAGCGTCTGAATTCAAAACACTGTACACATTTACAAAACGTGAAATATCTGTTCTTAATAATGAAGAAAATACATTAACTTGTGTGATGCGAGGTTAAATTTTTACCATTATTGAAATTGTTTAATTATTTTACTCTTTTCATACTGTTCAACATTTCACACTAGTTACACTACAATAACGCTGGCCTATGCATAACAACTACTCCTCTAGTTATAGCCATACATCATATTCAGTGTTTCCCATAGATTTGGTTAGGTACAAATAATGGTACAAATGATTTTTATTTGAATAATTTTGTCTCATTTAATTTATGTAGTATAAATGTCACTTGCTGCCTACATTTATTTTTTAAGCAGTTATTTTTAACCAGTGTATTACTTTATATGTTTATGACACTACAAAAGTCTAATTTTGTTCTGCCAATAACAGTTCAGCCAATGATGTTCATTATGTCTTCTTATATACTTTAACTTCTTAGGTTCTTTTTAAAGACAATGCAGTAAAGTGTATTTACCTTGCTGACATGTTTCGGCTGCTAGCTGCAAGCCATCTTCAGAACTGTTATATATATATATATATATATATATATATATATATATATATATATATATATATATATATATATATATATATATATATATATATATATATATATATATATATATATATATATATATATATATATATATATATATATATATATATATATATATATATATATATATATATATATATATATATATATATATATATATATATGTCCAATAACAGTTCAGTTTATTTTAGACTATGTATGCTAGAATGCTCAATACTGTTTGTCTATTGACATTTCTTGTTCATAAGACCTTTGTGCCATGCAACATTTTACAGTTTTGTTTGCCAACTGAAACTCATTTGTGTAAGTTGACCTGTAAAGCACATTGCTGTTCTGATATGGCTGCTGGCCCACATTACACTGATGCTATGTAGTCACGAAGAGACAATTGAAGCTAGTTAATGATTGTCTACATATGGTTAAGACAATTATGCTCCTCCTCTGAGCTTCTGTATAAAATATGTCAGAATCTTGCTGTGGTTTGGGTTTTTCTCTATTTGGCAAGGTGAGGACAGATGGGTACCTGTATGTTGCTTGTTTGCCAATGCTCTTGTATTCATTTAACCCAATTCTTATGTTACAGTAATCCCCCAAGTTGGCTGAAGATGACAAAGCTTACACTACTTGCAGGTAATAATAAGTTAATGTAATAGGTGAGGTTCTCAATGCTGTGGTACATGTGTCATTGGCTTCTTCTGGTGTTACACCAAACTGTTATTTCTCCCCTTGTAGGCTTATGCCTGGTGCTGTGTCAGCTTGGTAAGTACACTGAGACACATTTGTAGTCAGTTCTCTAGCTTGATTTGTGGTTTTCTGAATGAATCTCCTTTATGTCCTGTCAGGCTCTGCCACTGACATGGTGTGCTATTTCACCAACTGGTCCCAGTACAGGCCCGGTGAAGGGAAGTTCCTGCCCCAAAACGTGGATCCCTTCCTCTGCACCCACCTGATCTATGCCTTCTCCGTCATCAACCATGCCAACGAGCTGGTAACCTACGAGTGGAATGACGATGTGCTCTATAAGGCCTTCAATGCCCTCAAGAATAAGTAAGGGGGGCTGTTCTGGCGTTTTGTAAAAGCACAATACCAAGGATCATAAATGTACTTAAAAAACAACACTTTAACTAATTGTCTTTCAAATATATCACATAGGAATCCTCATCTCAAGACTCTGTTGGCTGTTGGTGGATGGAATTTCGGCTCTTCACAGTGAGTATAATTGTATATCGTTATTGCAAAAAAAAATCCCCAAAAAACTAGAGTGTAATAAAAGCCTAAGTAGGCCTAAGTAATAAAAGCCTAAGTAGGAAAAAAACTGAGGTAATACAAGCCTCTAATGCTCCCAAACATACTGTTGGTTCAGTAACGTGCACAATCTCTAATATAGTTATTGAACACCAGATATTAGATTTGAAGATATTCTCTCATCCAGCAAAGAAAACAATAAATAAGTAATTGACCTTAAACTGGCTGTGCAAAGGATCATAACAAAGTCCACGTCCTTACAGGTTCGCCATCATGGTGTCCACTCAAGCCAACCGTCAGAAGTTCATCCAGTCTACTATCAAATTCCTGAGGACCCATGGCTTTGATGGTCTGGACCTGGACTGGGAGTACCCAGGAGCACGTGGAAGCCCCCCAGAAGATAAGCAGAGGTTCACTCTGCTGTGCAGGGTCAGTTCACTTGACTACACTCAACAATAGCAGTTTTGATATGAGACTTTCAGGACAATGGTTTTATATTTTTAATTTGTGCAGGAACTTGTACAAGCCTATGAAGCAGAGGCCAGGGAAACAGGTCGAACTCAGCTCTTGTTAACTGCTGCAGTGGCAGCTGGAAAGGGAACCATTGATAGTGGATATGAGATCGCTGAGATCGCAAAGTAAGTAGGGTAGCTTGCAACTTGCAAAATCTCTTTTTTTTTTTTTTTAATTAAGTCATTTTGTCTTCCTGTAGAGAGCTAGATTTCATCAATGTGATGACCTATGATTTCCATGGAACATGGGACTCTTTCACTGGACACAACAGTCCACTGTACCGTGGTTCTAAGGACGAAGGGGACCTCATTTACTTCAACACTGTACGAAACTATAAAATACTTCTTATTATTGTTTTCTCTTGTTCTGTATTAGCTTTTTAACAAGGTTTATATTTTTATAGGACTTTGCCATGAAATACTGGAGAGACAATGGCACTCCAGTGGAGAAGCTGAGGATGGGCTTTGCCGCTTATGGTCGTACTTTCCGCTTGACCTCCTCTGACACCAGTGTAGGAGCTCCAGTCAGTGGTGCTGCTTCAGCTGGATCATACACCCGTGAGGCTGGATTCTGGTCCTACTATGAGGTATGCAGTAACTAGCCATGAGTATCCAGTAAAATAACAAAACAATAAGCAGGACATTTTTTTATGTGCCTTAATGATGCATATCTAATGGGACAACTACTACCAAAAATTCACTAATTTGCTGTCTCTTTTTCTTATCATTTGTGCTCTAGATCTGCACTTTTCTGCAAGGCGCAGAGATCCAGTGGATTGAAGACCAACTGGTACCATATGCCTACAAAAACAATGAGTGGGTTGGATTTGACACCAGGGAGAGCTATGACATTAAGGTACGGAGATGTTTAGTTTTTGTGTTTTGTTTTTTTTTAATCTAGGGTATCTTCTGGACCATTTGAGTAAAGTTAGCCTCTCTGTACAGGTGCGCTATCTGCAAGAGCAAAGGTTTGGAGGGGCTTTTGTGTGGTCTTTAGATCTGGATGACTTTGCAGGACGTTTCTGTGGACAGGGCGCCCACCCTCTGATCTCTCATCTTCGCGACCTTCTTAACATTGGTAAGATATAAAAGTAGCCCCAAATACACAAAATCTGACAAGCGTTTGTCAAAAATTCAGCAAAGTCAGACTGCGCTAATTAATAACTAAATTGAGTTTATAGTATTCATCTTCATATAATCACACCTCTTCTTTGTCTAATGCAGAGCTGCCCCCACTGCCCCCTACCACCACTCGTGACCCCAGTATCTCTACCACCACCCCCACCACCCCCACCACCACCACCACCACCACCCATGCCCCAGGATCGGGCTTCTGCAATGGTAAACCTGACGGCCTCTACGCCAACCCCGATGATAACAACAGCTTCTACTCGTGCGCCGCAGGCACCACTCACGTCAATAGGTGTGGTGCTGGCACTGTCTACAACGCCAGTTGCAAGTGCTGTGACTGGCCAAAATAAGAGTAATGACACTGGGATTATAAATTTAATTATGTAGAAAGAGAGGGAAAAAAATTACTTTTTCATAAAATTACAATTTGTTTATCAAATATGTCAAAATGTGTATATTCAAATATTCAAAATAATAAATATGTGATATCGTACTAGTTTAGCCTTTACATCAAGTACTATTAAACATCTGCTATTAAATATCTACATAGTGATGTCTTTGCCTCATTTTGCATTACTGTTTGAGAAATATTAATGATACAAATTAAAACAAAAATATGTTATAAGGGTGAGAGAGACTATGCTTGTCACTACTACTAGGCCTGCTACAATAAAAAAAATTGAAGCACGCTATACTGCTATAGAGAAATATTGTGATTAATGATAAAAGTAAATCAATAAACCATTTTTAAATAGACAGCATCATTAAAACACATGAGCTGGAACTGATAAATAACAGAATGGACCAATAATTAGCTACAGAATTAACTTTTTCAACCTACCACCTCATCTCTACAGCTCATATCTAGTATTACAACAAAAATGCCCCAAATCTCCCACTTTAAGTACAAAGAAAATGAATACATGATAAATCAAGTTAAGTCGATGTAATAATTATTGTGACAGGCCTACTCAATACCAGATATTCAGCATAAGGCCGACTGTATTGACAATTCAGTTATTGCTATTACTATACAATGAGCCTTTGTAAGACAAATTTACAATGATGCCATATTCATTTTATATTACACAAATACCACACTAACATTAGCACCATATTAGTAAAGTATTTGTGGTTTGCTCATACAGTCTCCAAGGTATTTTCAGCAGAGATGTTTTTTCAGATGGCAAAGAGGGGACGACTAGTTCAAATTTTGGTGCTAGAACAAGAAGTCTGAACCTATAAACACACAAACCTGTCAAAAAGGCATAAAAGGTAGTTCAGGTTGCCAAGAAAACCACAGCATTTTGACAGGACCTGGTTAGAGACCAGTGGTGAAAAGAGCACTGGCAACTGTACTTAAGTAAAAGTACAACTACATGGTAAAAAATTAACTCAATTACAAGTATATGTACTGCTGCAAAAATGGTACTTAAGTGAAAGGACTAAGTACACATGAAAAATACCACTCAAAGTACTAGTTATTTGTCACTTTGCTTTACTTTGCTTTGACTTGGCCAGTGAAAGCAGGCTAAACAGTATCGTTATGTGTTTTTGCACAGCATTGCTATTTGGAACGATTTAAACTTTTAAAGACAGTGAAGTACAATTGCATGGCTAGATTAATAAAATTACAAGTACATGTTTAAAAAATCTACTCTACTACAACAGAGTGACAGAGAGAGTCAGATAGAGAGAGAGAGAGAGATAAAGAAAGAGACAGAGACTGAGATATTTTACTGATCCGAAAGAAATTCATATATAGCTGCAGCAACATTTGCACTGCACTTCTCAATCATCTGAGCCTGATTCATCAGCCGGTTTCACTTCGTAGAAACCGTCCGACCTCACAGCGTTAGAATATGTTCACTTGATGGTAGGTGGGTACTTTTCTTTATTTAACCAATCACTGCTATTTGGTCGTGATGTATGTAATGCGCCGCTAACGGGGCTAACTGGTGTATTAAGCTTTTCTCAAATCTGGTAGGAAGAAGGGCAATAACGTCTTTCCCCTTCACCAAACATTCTCTTTGTTCCAGCTTTGAATCCTCGATCTTGGGAATCGTTGACAACACAGAATGTATGGCTCTTCGCTAATTGGCTGGTGCCCGAACTTGCACTTCCAGAGTTTTTGCGAACTGTAGTGTATTCTGATTCCTAACCTAGTCACTAGAGAGAAAAGAAATGAGCGGAAGCCAAATATGTCAATTTTCTGTGTCCGGCAGCATCAGAAAGACCTCGTTCTTACTTTGCTCTGGTGTTTTGGTGGAGTGAGCTAGTCCCTTTAAGTATTTCCTGTGAAAGGTCTTTTGCCACATTTGCTGCCACATATGATGTAAAAAGCCTGCAGCATCTCAAATATCCTCAGCGAACCTTTTGCATAGTCGCCATGGGTACGAGATATTTCACAAAAACAGTCTATTGTGTTCATTCTCTCAAAGTATTGTAAGCAACCAATAAGAAACTTTCTACTTAACTTAAACGAATCTCAGAAATAAAATGGTTGATTATCTGTACGGCAACCCTTCAGGATGTGGAAGGAAATTGTAACCAAGGGTGCAAAGTGGGCGAGGATCTATGAAAAAAATTAAATGCAAACTAACACTTAGGCCTGCATGTTTGATTGTAATATAGTAAACAACTATAAATCATAAGGAGAATGGAACTGATGAAATTTTCGTATTGTAAACGGGAAAATAAAACTATTGCCTGAAGAATAAATATCAGGTTGACAGAATACTCCACACCCCAAACTGCGAGGTGTTTTATTCTTGCACAAATAAAGAAGCAAAGTCTAAAAACATAAGACTGTTATATTATATCACAACAGTAATTATTCTTGGGTTTCAGCCTCCTGTCATATACATTTTGAGGACTTTTCTCCATTCAAAAGATGTAATATTTAGTTTGACATTGTTAATCGCCATGATAATTGTCTTAATTTCTCTCTTACTTTAAACATGATAACCTCATAACCCCACAGAAAAATGAGAGGTATGTATATGTATGTACACTCCTTTTCATAACAAACAGGCCAATTAGTGCATATTTGTTGCCATATAATAAAAATAATCATATTGAATTAGGAGATAGATTTAAGCCTGAAGCGACAGAACATGACAAAGACAACAAATGTGATATGCAGTGTAGCTCTCACCAAGATAATAAAGGTGTTATGGCAACTGCTCAAGTTTCTTCCATACACACACATACGCATGCACATAATAATATGGAACTGCTTAGGGTATTATTAGTAGTTCTTATTAGGATGCAGAAACAAGGACATGGAGTGAGTTATGAGTTAAATCTACCATTGCACATATAAAGACATCCAAGATATATAAGTACTTCTTGATACACATAGATATTATTTCATCTTGTGCAAGTGTTTTGTGTCATAAACAAGTTTTAAAAGCCACTGGCAAACCCCCTTTTGTCAATTGCCCAGTTGACCATTTGACTACAGCCCTGTTCCACAGTAAAGGACAAATTAGCAAAAAGATCAGATAATACAACATATGCCTGTCACTATAATTACTCTATCGACTTATAGTTCTGTATATGAAAGCTGGAGCAATATATTTTTGGGCTCAGTATTTATCATGTGAACATTTGTCCACATTTTCTTTACAATAATGGGATGATTTTTGTTATTTTTGTTGTATTACAATATTTGAGCGGTGGAGGGTTGAATAAGTTACTTCTATGGCTGTTTATTGCTTCATTTTGCTTTATGTCTATTTACAAAATGTTTTACTTGGATTATCCTGCTTTATTTTGTCTGTGTGTGGCAGGCCTCTAACGATAATCAATAAATCAATTAATTGTACGATAACTTTTAACGAACTCGATAACTTTTTCAGCTGCGATAAATTCTGTTTGCGTGCTTGGTTGTTTTCCTTGCTCTCTGTCTCTCGCTCTCAAAGAGGGTGAATGTTAGAAGGCTTCTATCGCTCTGTGACTCCTCTCGTTTAAAAAGCGTAATGACGCTTGAACCAATGTGCGCTGTGTTTATCAACACAGTGGATGCGCGTGTAGTCTGAGTGCAGAAAGCGCCGCTGTCTGTGCGGCTAACATGAAGCCACAACACAAGCTAGCGCTGCTGTCAGAGTGACAAAACAGTTCATCGCCGAGTGCCAAAACAAGTCACGATGCTGAATCAACACTGGTGAGCGGGACATGTCTCAACAGCCACATGCGTCAAATGCAGCGAGTGCGCAAACAACGAGAAGAAATGTCTCAAACCCCAACAGCCGACATAAACCCAAACCCGAGAGACAGAACTAGCCCCGCCCCCGGGAGAACCCCAAATCCACTGAAATCCCACAAAACACTGACATGATACCAGACAGGACAGTGGCTCCCTCATAGTAAAATAGCATCCTGTGTTGCGGGTTAATACGAACATTTAAATGACCAGAATGACGAGGCTCACAGCAGCGGCCACAGAGAGAGTGGCCACTATATACCAGTGTAAATCAATGACTAAAATCACTTTTAAGGGCAATTTTGTTACAGAGACTTAATAATCCATTTTATTTGATGCTATGATTGTATTTGGTTCAGCAGTGGTTTATTCAAGTGCATTTTTGTAAACAAGTCCTTGCTGTGAGCCAGACTACATTAGGCTAGTCCTATGTTAACAAGTCTGTTTTATTTAGGCCTGTTGTTTTTGTTTGTCTTACAGTTCCTGTGTTAAATGTTTTTTAGAAAGTAAGGTTTATTGATCTTTGAAAGGGTGTATTTCCATTTTTATTCCATGGTCATTATAGTAGTTGAAATTGGTCTCATAATGTCAATATTATCGTTTATCGCAATAAATTCTTGATCAATTCTTGGTCCAGCAAAATCTGTTATCGTTACAGGCCTAGTGTGTGGCATAAAATAGTTCCAATATTATCATTTATCGTTGTATTTCTCTGTAGCAATATATCATGCTTAAAAGAAATGCTTATTATAGTGCCAGGCCGAGGTCAACATTTCAGAAAAAGGCATTTAGAAGAACCTATTTCTCATAATTAGTTACTTATAAATAAAATAATATACCACTGTATTATATAGATTCCACATTAAATAAGGTACTGCTTTTAATTATACTTTACACCATGTTCAATCGGGCATGTTTCTTTATCAAACAAATAAATAAGTGTCACTACTTACAAACTCATCCCTGTGTTGTTTATTCTATTCCCCACTGCTTTTAGGCTCAGACTTCAATAATACAATAACATTACAAGTCTAATAAAGCAAAATGCAATTCCATAGATTTAAAGGAAGTAATGAGACTTTCAGCCATTCGAACTCCATTCTTAGCTGGCTACTGGAGCCTGCTCGCTGCTCTGCTGTTCAT